CCACAATCTGCGAGACCAGTTGCCAGTCTTCGACAGTTAAAATCTACGTATATCGATTTGATGAGTGGGTTTGTGGAAGGAAATATATATATGTGCTACAGAAAGGCGATTTGCTACTCGCCTAACGGAACATTTGACAATGAGGCTGAATACAACTGAAGTCAAAGTATTTAAAAGTTCAAAATCAAAGGATGTTGTGGACTGCGGACATGACATTGATGCTGTCAAGTCATGTACTGTTTCCAGCAGGCAAACTTACAGGAAGATACTAACACCAGTCGAAACTTGTGAGATAATAGTTTATTATTCAGGTCTTTGTATACAAAAGGAAGTGTCGGTCACTCTGAATCCATCCTGGTAATATATTTTGTTGATATTGACTCTACCTAATTCACCCGACATTTGGGATATCTTCCAGGACAAACTACTGACTGTTTGTAATGTAGAATGTACTCCTGGGGAAACTTTCGAATTAATACGCTTTGACGACAACGACATCTCGACTATCACATTCACGCAAATCTTCAACCTGATATTAGGCATAAATGTACTAGAGTTTGTTTGAATTTATTTATTTAAAATGACAGGAAAGAAAACCAATGTGCATTGCCCTTTGAGTTTAACGAAGACATCGCTGTTGTGTTATCAGTCACACAAATTCATTTTACAACTAATTTAAGGAAAGCTTCTTTCTAGGGTGTTTTGCTAACCTCGATAGACCTATGGAGCTTCGGAAGGTGAATGCTATCCATATCTTCAAAACCAACCAGTAGTCATCAACGTCGCGTGGTCTAACAAGTCTCCCTTCGATGGCAGTCATAAACTCAGAGTTCACTGGTCAAGATTGAAGATCTATGACTGGTGAAATGATTTTATTTTATATGTAATGAAAAAATATCAAAAGTGTTCTTCAACGTTTATCAGTGTCAATGCCTAATACCTCATCCTTTGAGAATATCCTGGAGGAAGCTTCTCTTCTTCCACAGTGGCTGTCAAAAGAAATACAGTTAACAGTATCATCATAAGTGATGCAGTAACAAAAGTCACACTAATGTTCATTGCTAAGTGAATTTAATCTACAGGGGGAATGTGGTGATAATATGAATTCAGCATAAAAAGTAAATTTGTCATTAGAAAACACATTTCAATCAACTCTGTGAACACACAGTATGCATAATCTACGTCCCCTGCAATGCAGTCCGATAATCCTGTGATTCTCTCCATCGCTGTTATCCCTGAATATATATAAATATATCGTTATGTTAATAGTCAACGCAACTCGGATAATATTTTGACTAAAAGACACAGAGAATCCATGGACATTCTCTCGAAAACCGATATCGTAGCAATAACAGATCGTGTGAAGAGTTCAGGAGTGCGAATCATAACGAGAACAGACCACTTCAGGAGGATCAATTCCACTCGTAATGACCATCTCAAATTCCAAACATTCTCATCTTTTCTTCATCCGATTGAAAAGAACGAGAAACAGTTAATAAGACTGAAACAAAGTCTGTATACATCACCAAAACCCACCAGCAATCTTCACACCGAGATTATATGGACTACTAAAAGTGCATAAAATTGGTTCCCCCCACCCTTCAACCAATAATGGAGATGGTGAACTACCCACCCATAACATCCCATAGTTGAATGGTTGGTCAAACTTTTAGGGCCTCCACATACTGAATTAGTGGAACAATTCCAGCTGACATTTCCATTCGAAAAATGGACGATGGGCGTTTGAAAAGTGTAATAGGTGAACTCGAATTTAACTATCGTTGTATGGATGAGTGGGAAGCAGAGAATGTCTCTGACAATTCCATTATGGAGAAGACTTTGCTGGGTTTGTGCACTCTCTCACTTCCAGTTGATTATGCAATCTTTGGCTTTAAGTTCTCCCACTTCACTGCAACGTAATTTACTAGCCTCATATTTCCATAATTGGAGTTGAACTCACCATATTGTTACTCAAACTACTTACTGATTACTCATCAGCTTACTCTCCTCCTATCTTTGTTGCGTAACTCTCTTGCCAGTGTATCCTAGCAATCAGTTTTGTTTAATCTTCACTTCCTGTGTGTCAGATATACATAAGTGTAGTTTCTCAGCACTGTTTATTGATTTCTGAGTCTCCTGTTAACTACTGACATCATGTAAAATGCCCAAGTATTGCAAGAATTGCTCTGGAAATACACTTAATGAATTATTTTTAGATGAATGTAGATGATGAGAAGCCGACTAAATTATTGACTGTACTACCTTGTTCTGCAGACACTGTTATTCTTGCTCTATTCTAAGGTCGGGGGAGGGGGAATACATGAAAGAGGTCAGCTGAACTCATTTGAAATATGTGTTCAACAACGGTGAACATTTGCACGATTGTCAGCCTTTTCCTTTCAATAAATCTGTGAAGAGTGTTATGTGATGTGAGGATACTCTCAGTGCTGTAGCGAAGACCATGGAAGGTGGGTAGTAAAAGCAATAAAATAACAATACAAAAATAAAGTGACACCAATTATTTGTATCAAGTAGTGTGAAGCCACACACCAATTAGAGAAGTTCAATCTTATTAGTCAGTTAGTTACTAAGTAAGTTAGTCAAAGACTGAGTTATTTAGTTAGTCATTTAATTAGTTAGTTGGTTAGTTAGTCAGTTAGTTAGTTAGTTGTTTAGTTAGTTAGTTAGTTAGTTAGTTAGTTAGTTAGTTAGTTAGTTATTTAGTTAGTTATTTAGCTATTTAGTTAGTTAGTTCGTCATTTTTTAGTTTATTTAATTCTAACTGTTTGATTTGATTCGCTTTTTGTCTCAACCAATATATCGAACTATGCATCACGTTCTATGCTCACTTCATCATGCATCAAACTCAATGAGGCTGTAATTATTCACGCTAATCCACAAATAAAAATCATTCAGCTGAACAACTGTAAAAATTCAAAAACACACAACAACTCGGTATGCTTACCTTTCCATGATGAATGCGAACATGTCTCTGGTCAATTTGTCATGTAGCTGTATCAATAGAATCCTTATCAACGTAACGAGTGATATATTGCTACGGCTATGCATTGAATACCACAGTGGGATCTCACTAGAATTCGTCAACAACAATTTCCTCACTGAAACTTGTTTTCATCGAGGCTTGAGCGAGCTACATTTACCAACTTGCTCTGGGATTTCATCCTTCAAACTGACACGTGAATTATCAAATATTCTATCTACATGGCCTATTCCCGTCTTCGTAACTCATTCTAACTAGTAGGTTATTTCAAATTTTCCTTCGCTTCGATGTGCATTCTGGCTGCAGCTGATTCCTTCAATTATCCATCTTACTTCGTACCTTAACCAGCTTATGCTATACGTCTTAAGTACTGACTGATATTAGCAATGAATAACAATGAATTTGACAATTCCTCGCTGCTGTGAGTATCCTCTTTCGTGGAAATAATCTCACATAAGTGCTATTGTACAGACAAAGATGATCAGTTCGACAAAAAAGGAGCTTCTTCATCACTGAACGACTTGCTTTCCTTCTCGTTGATGCAAAGCAGGCGACAACTTGATCATGAACTGTGTGTTTGTTAATGTGAAGAGAATGTGTCACACACAGTTTCAAACTGTCCGTTAACAGCCTAAATTCACGTTATGACCAAGTGTGTTTTCGACCTTGAACTTGGCATAGAAGTGCAGCAGTTTAAGTGACTACTACACTATATATATCTATCTCGAAAACATGGAGAGAAAATTAGAGGAGAACCGTGATGAACTACCAGGTATGAATAAAAGTAAATTCTATCGAGGTTAATGACAATGTGATGGATAAATGGGTTCATAGCGAGTGAATGCATTTTCTCCACTGACAACGACTTTGGATCATCTCACTAATGGTGTGTACAGTCATTGGTTCTCAGCATCTCGAAGACAAACACACACATAGCAGGTAGTGTACACCTGCTCATATGATTCAAATCGACAGTCAAAGACGTGATGGATTGACGCTAGGTTTTGATATGTCCCCTCTCATGATAAGAAGTCTGAGCATGAATAAATCACTTTGGGAACCAATTTGTCACCACCGTTTCCACTAGTGAATTCAACTCTTTCTGAAGAGCTCGAGGCTATGAAGTCAAATTTGATAGCGTTACTAGCAAATATGCCTTGAATTGGTTCTGAAGTAAACAATCAATGTTGACATTCATAATAGCATCGCATTCTTATTTCCTTGATCTACTGGTTTATAAATTTGATTGAGTTTATTTGAAAATATCTTTGGAGAAAAGACATCTCCATTAATTCTATTTTTTCAACTCAAAGTAACTCCTTCTCTCTTTAGATTCTTGATGTCTTACAATATTGTTAACTCTTGTTACAGTAGGCTTCTGAGTCATAGTAGCCAAACCATTATGTCAGATTTATTATTCTTTGCATAATGGATGCAGAAATTTGGAGTGTTTAATGCCCCAATGCTCAACTCGAATTCATCTTTGATCTCTTAATAATATTGAAGTTTGCGCTGAAGTTGTTGTCTAGATAGAGACTGAAGGCAACTCAGAGAACACAACTGAATAAAGAAAAAGGAGGTTCACTCAGTTTTACTGTTTCTTTCTTTCAGGAAATCGACAACACAAGAATAAATACACAAATGTACAAAAATCTGACGATTGTCTTCACCAAACTCATCAAACTTGACATTCGACTTGAATTATGCACTAGACACTGTCGCATTGATTTATTTTTCTGAGAGTTATCGTCTCACCTAGTGGAATTTTGTTTAGAAAAGTACGGCCATTTTCACTTCGTCTAATCAGCACAAATAATTCAAGTAGTCGGAATTTGGTTGGACAATGCAAAACAGCTTTTGTAATTTCAAATCTGATTTGATACTATCGGGTGTCTACTACTCAGTGCATTGCTGTCTGCTCTAGTCATCAGCATATATATATATATATACATATATGTACATGTAAACATATTTGTATATGTTCAGAACAAACTACAACATGCGTTGCTTCTTACTGTTCATCTCATTTTCCATTCTTCTTCATGTTCAACAATCTACACAAGATGGTGAGTTTCATTTCACGTTTCATAATCATTTATGTATTCAATGTACAATATCATCTAATGTAATTAGTCTAAGATATTAAACTGATCATCAAATTATTTTATAAATTCTAAAGTTGTATTTAATCATATCAAGCAGGTGTTTTCATTCAAAATAAGCCTTGCAGAATTTAACTAATAAAGCTCAGTCAGTCAGTTTTTGTTTTTCCGGCTAATTGACCGGACCGTGATGTTCTCTCACTCTTGACATGTCGGTTTGCAATACGTACGGCTCGATGATTTTTAGGATCAAGGGGACGTAATCCGGTGGATAATAACTAGCAGCGGAATCCAGGATGCGCGTTTCAGCTTATTTAGGATTCGTGAGGAATACCAAATGGGTTGTAGTGTTCACGCCACAACGAGCACTCATCGTTTCAAATACCGAAGCGTGAGGAAAGCATAATAACTTATGCTAATCGTAGAAAAGGTGGTTTTCTGGCTTCAGAGGAGTAGTGCATAGGGCTTTGGCATTAACATTGATTGGGTAAAGTAACTTTTGTGATGTGTTTATTCCTCAGTTTCGTGCAGACTGAATTCTATCAGTCAGGTTTGCAATGTGGCCATCATGCCACTAGGTAGCTCGCCGTCTCAGTGCACATTGATTCGATCGTATTAGATGGCTTGAGGCAGTTGACAGGAAGCCCAGCCTGACCTAGGTTCCGTTCTAGTTGGCACTTACCAGTCAGCAGGACGTACCTGCAACCCTAAGCGAGCTCGTCTCACTTCTGAGATTGAAACCCGCGTCACCAAGTGTCACCTATTGAGTACTGGAGTCAGCGACGTTACCATTGATCTATTCGGGCTCACGACTGACGTCCTGTAAGACTGTATTGGATCCTTTGATTGGACACCAGTAAGTAACGTTTGTAATGTGTCTAGTCCTCTGTTTTGCGAAGACTAAATGTTATCAGTGCTTTCTAACTATAGAGCTGGGTTTTACTTTCAGTGGTAATAATACCACCTATTGGATATCGTATTCATATCCGGATAAAGAGTTTCGAATAGTCATCGTCCGCCATCTGTAATGCAGATATGTTACTGTGTATTATTTAAGACTGAAACATGGTTACACACTGGAGAAAATTTAAAAGAGGGATTTGTTAATTTGACTTCAAGCATCAGTGAATAATCCCGTAGTCTAGACATAGTTGTATAACTCCGAAGATTTCATATTTTAGTTTTGGTGTGGCTGCAATTGTTGTTAGAATGACATATTACACGGAAAGTGATTTTCCTGTAGCAGATCATGATCCGCATTTATTGTGTCAGGACTGATGATAAAATTGAAGTAGATAAAGTCAGATTCGGACACCAGATTCTTTGACTTAAAGCCCAGCTAGAGCTTAAGCCAATGATTCACAGATCCACTGTGAAATCGTTCGACTACAGAGATCACACATGCTGTTTGAGTACCCACTTGATCAATCAATATTTTACTCAAAAAAACAAACAAAAAAACAATGACACAATCGAATCGATCTTTGATGATCGTATAAAACCCCAGCGTTAGAAATACTCTAATCACCTTTTTGACTTATGCTTTGCTAAAAAAAAGTATAATTGCTGAGCGTGAACGTCAGTCAACTTCGGCACACATGTGAGAATTATTTGTAAAATCCAATCTGCAGGCTGAAGTCATCATAAAATGTTTCATGATTCTGTGTGTTCTGCATTTCTGATATTTTATTATTACAGAAATTACATACTCCTAACTTTGTCTTTTCTTATAGACTTACAGACTATAAAGATGAAGCAAAGATTAGTACAACAAAAATTACTATGGAATGAAGGTAAACTTGAAATAACCTATCAGAGGGATATTTATTTATAGGATGAATGTGCTTTCAAGATTCTCTATTTATAGTATTCACACTTAAGTAATTACATATAGGATGGTTAAGAGAGTGCGTCAGCCGGGAATCGAATCCTAACCATGTGCGTAATTGGCGAGTGTCTCACTACTGAACCACTGGAGTACAGGCTGTATGAGTAAAACTGCTTTTTATAGTAGCAGTGAAACATAGGATGATAGAAAAGCTGTCAGTCATTTGTATAATCTAGCAATGAAAGTGCTTGATATTACCTAAATATATCCTGTTACCTATCGAGAATACTACAAATAGAATTAGAATCAATCAAGCATATGTTATTTAAAAATGTAAAGTCAACTTCGTCTGAACTCTGTATTACTCTAATATTGTAGCAAATTTGAAGAAGAACAATGCAACTTTGACTAATCTAGCCAAAAGATTACAAGAAACAATAGGTAATTTACAATGGGGTTATTCTTTCGCCTAATTTTGACGCTTAATTTTACACTACTACTAACTTGTACTAGCCAAAGTTTGCTTAATTTTCATATTATCGTATTGATATTTTGTGCTGAGCAAAATTACCTCCTCATAACCTCCTTGAATGAAAGAAAACATTCTGATTTCACTTGATGAAATGAACTAAATCGCAGTAAACCAACGTTTGAAATTTATTCTAATGATCACAAGTGAGAATTACTACAGCTTAGGCTTGACTGACTGAATTTCTAGTGAGAAATCGTTGACACAAAACATGTTCAATAGAAATAACACAACTCCTATGCCAGATATATGAAAAAAATTACAGGAAGCAACAAAGAACGAAGAGGAGAAATCTTCGTCACGCAAATTATGAAGCTGTAGAAATAATAAGTTGATAAGGCAAAGAGCATGAATTGTACCCTGAAACGTTATCCAGTCATTATTACTGTGTATTATATCAGGTAAACTTATCTAGCATGGAATTATAATCTCTACCACAGTGCCAAAATCTGCTACTCCTTACTTTAAAATATTCGCTGTTGTAGAAGACTACCAATGATACGATATGCCAGAAATCCATGGGATTTGGAAATTGACAGCATTCTCTCCTAGTGACCAAGTGATCGACGAGATCTCCTCGAAACCTGTAGACCATGGATATACGGTTTGATTTGTGTGGGATGAATGAAACCCACAACTAATGAGTCATCCTGTACTATAGCTGCTCTGCAAGGAAACAATAATAACGGGAACATTTCCACTTATCTATGTTGTATTTTCCCCACTGATTGATTTATACCAGTCATTAATGCTCGGTGTCTGCTGGACATGTCAGCTTTTAGTACGGGTGCTCCGACGAAATCTGGAGGTTAACACGATGTTGATGATGGTTGGACCATATCCAGAAGAAGCATTTTCAGCAAATCGGACTTGTTAGCTGGCCAAGCTTTAAATCTCTGAAGGAAGCTGCAGACGCATGAACAACCACAATATCTGCTTTCAGTGGGGTGTTGTCTGCTAGAAACTAACACTTATCATAACAGTGGCCTAGTGGATTACACATTGGCTGGGTTGAAGTCCCAATGAGAATATCATCACATAATGGATAATGAAAGCACATACATCTGACAAGCCTCAAATAATACGAAGTGAGTATTCTGGATTCGACGGTTAGCAACCATTAAACAGACGACATCTTCTCCATCTAAGTTATTCTGCATTTTATCAAACGAAAATCATAACCTACTTCATAAAACAACATGACTCCTTTATTGTTTTCTCTCTTACTGTTTACAGAAAACATCAATACTCGACTGTCACCTCACCGGTTGTCTGTTGATAAATGTCAGTTATAATCCACAAATTAGATCATACTATAACTTGAATATTTAGATGTTGCCTGTATAAGTAAACAGATGAAAGCGGATACTGGAGTCGAACTTATGGAAAGTATGCGCATTTCTTATATCTTGTTTTACCATCGTTCGTGAAAATGGCATTGCCTTTAAAATATTTTTGTCCTACTATTCATTTCGTTATATACGGGTGAACAGACAGCTAGAAAGATTAGGTTTTTGGAAAACGAACTGTTGGCAACAGTGAAGTGTGGACGTGTTTCAAACCTGTGAGTTGGTGGTTTTTAGCTAGAACGCCTGCCAGCTACACACTTCTTCCGTGGTTCAACTTACGAGCAACACACACTTCATGATCTTATCCAGCTGGCAATAAACCCTGTGAAGAGGTGAGGTTGGGTGTGAGGCTAATAACTCTCCACCTCGTAGAAACAACATAAGATCCACCTGGAAAGCAAATGAATGCAAACAACTGTACTTCAAACTTATCATCACTTTTCCACTCAACAATTCACTGGAAGCCTGGAAATAAAAAATGGAGTAAATGATTTCTTGGCATGCACTGAAACTATAAACTGTTTTACATACAAAACCATGGTATCTAGATTTTCGTCAAAAGCGAGAAACAATCACGTTATCTTCAAGAATTGGAAACATTTATTTCCCGATACGAATTTGAAACAAGCAATAAAGGTTAATAAAGCAGGATTTAATGAATTCATCAAATTTCGGTAGAACTTGTCAGCTGAATACTCCACATACACGGATATATATAGTTTTGAAATTACATTTGGAGATATAGGACTGATAAGTAAATAAACTACATTGAATTAGTCATGCAGAAAGACAGGTGCGAATGTTTTTCCAGGTCATGTGCAATTAGATAAGGGGAGAGAGAGTATGGGAGATCAAAATTAAGATAAATTGCATTACGCTTCAATTACATCACTTAGATAAACAATTAGACATCAGAGAATTTAACAAGAATTGCAACCAGAGGGATGTCAATAGTAATAGTTATAATAACAATAATATAATATAACAATAATAATAATAGTGTTGAAGTGGGTTAAGATAATGCTACTGATAAAGGATAGTTTTAAATGAATCAAGAATAATAATAATGAGAATAATAATAGTAATAATAAAATAATAATAAGAGGTAGAATTATAAGTAAAACGTATTACCATGGTAGATTCAGAGTCACGACCATCTCCTTTTGTTCACAGAGACCTGGTTTGTAAACTCGAATTGCACAAGCCTCTGCAATTGCAAGCATCTTCTTGTTTCTTTGTCTGTCCTATATCTCCCAATGTAATTTCAAAACTATATATATCCGTGTATGTAAAGCATTCAGTCCTATATCTCCCAATGTAACTTCAAAAGTATATATCCGTGTATGTAGAGTATTCAGCTGACGAGTTCTACCGAAATTTGATGAATTCATTAAATCCTGCTTTATTAACCTTTATTGCTTGTTTTATAATCACGTTATCACCCTCTTAACCCAGCAGTGATTACGTGGTAAATCCTCTTAAATCAAGCAAATTACTTGATAAATATTGGATACTTGAAGCCAAATGATACAGGAATCGAAATGACAATGTTTAGGCGCTCGTCCACATTCTCCAGCAGGAAAATTTTGAAAACCATGATAAATGCACCGTTTCCTAATAGATTTGAGCTAAAGTTTCACTCTGCTTCAGAGTCCCCTTATGAGATTTTCTGAGGTGACAGGCACCTTGTTTTAATGAACACAGAAAAGTAAGATCTATACTATACATGATTTAATTTCAATGGATTCTCTGCACTTCGCACTAAATCGACGTCATATGGAGTTTTGTGTCAGTCAGTCATTCAGTGAGCCGAACAATGTCATTATAAACTTCACTCATAGTAAGTAAATCGACACGATCATGAGGGCCGGATATATGCACTGTCATGCTGTCCTCTTGAATAAGAGATGTGAAGACGGTCAAGAGGAAAACATATAGCTGGAAGCTAATATCATCGGTCTCCACGTTATCGCTTTCACTGACCACTTTTACTACACGCACCACTGATGGTGTTCTCATCTTCATATAACAACGATGAGTAATTTTTTTCAAATGTGCTTTAATCACTTAAAATCTTACTTCTCTTTAGCAGTACCAATGAATTTCTTATCATAAATATTTGTTTTAACTTATCAGGTTTAGTGGAAGCTATTGAGAAAGAAAAGAAGATTTCAAGTACAGTAAAATATTGAATTCTGTGCTCTTATTCTCTTTCACTTTGAAAAATGGTAACCATTCTGTTAGCTGGAGATTGAGAGCAAAGGCCCCTTCTTTTGCTGGATATCGCGACTGTTGATGCTTGTCGTGTGATAGCGTGTGACTGAAATTCGAAAGAAATGCACCTTCCTTCTGAGATTACAACTTGCCTTACCTAATGATTTAGTCAGACATCACTAGGAGTAATTTATATGCGTAGTTGACATTTGAAAGCTTCTTAGTGAAACTCTGATATCTGAGATTTTGTATGCATCCGGTTTTAATGTTCAATTTCCAGAATTTATTACTAGTGACACAGAGGAGATGAAGGAGTGCTTTCAGAATAAGAAAAAGATATATGAAGGTAAGTATTGACTTTTGTGCTGAAAATGTTAACTCACTGTCCCACAGTTATTCTGGTTGGCTGTTACTCTGCTAAGATAAGTTGTCATCAAACAGACGGCGACTTTGCTAGGGCTGAAACGCATCTTCATGTATTTCAATTCAAAGTAATTCAATGAGTTGAGTAATGACAACAACAACGCCAACAACAACAACAACACCATATTACTTATGTGGCCTCAGTTGTTCAGTGGGAGAGGGCTCAGCTGACAAGTTGGATGCCCAATTTCAGGTGCTGGACAACGCATGTCTAAGCCCTGCCTAGTTTACTATCCGGTAGTAATTCCTGAAAATTGGAAAATTTGTATCTGAGGCTATCGACCATACCATGTTCTCTCTAATTACATTCAGATGTGCATTAATCAGACATCAGTGTTAAAACAGTCAACATTCACCAGTGCCACACTGTTCGAATCCTCTCTTAGTCCAGGTTTTCAATTCGTCTTCATTGATATAATTCTCATTCAATCATATTTTCACCGTAAAATTTATTTCCTGATTCATGTAAATAGCAATATCGAAAAGTGAAGGATGGGAAAAATGCTCGCCTGACCATCCGGAAGCCCTCAATGACGGTATGTCATTTGCTATAGTTTGGTTTGTAAGGTTTAGTTATGTTTTACGAGTTGATCACGGACTGATATCAGTTAGAGAACCATTGAAAACCAGGGAGTACTGGACAGCTGCTGTTTCATCCTAGTTTGGGATCATCGGCAGTACGCACCCATTGAAAATTGTTTTCATCATCAAAGGTGTCATGTGAAATTGAGGTCAGAATCGAGTACTTTTCACTAAGAATAACCTATTGCGCTTCGATCAAATAATAATACCGATACTCGCCATTCATGGTAAATAATAGAGCAGTAGTGTGGACACCCGTTTTCCTAATCATCACTGGAAGAAATTCTAGTAAGGTTGCCCTTTACATTTGCCTGTTCAGCACCGCTACAATTAAAAGACACCCTTGATCGGGAAAGCAGGACAGGCTTTCACTACCCCAAAATCCATGGGAAGGTGTGAAGCATTCAGAATATGTAACTGGTTAACTTTAAGCATTACTAATGTGAATTCAGTGCCTCTATATATTCCAGTCACACATGCGTCACGAAAGGCATTTACAATAACTCGCTTAAGAACTCCATCAACACGTACCCAGTTAGGTACCTCGATAATGAAGATAAGATGGCCAAGATAAGCAACAAGTGACCCCAAATGACAGCCAACCTCCCAACAACTGGCTGGAGGTGGATTCCACATACACTGAGTAGACAATCAGGTGACATCAAAAACCGGACAGACCCTCGAGTTCAACCTGAGTGGGAAGAAACGAGTTGATCGTCCCAGTGTGACATGGTAGAAATTATATGAGGGAGAGATTAAGCATTTTTCTCAGTCCTGTAGCCCACTGATATTCATGGGACAGAATCGAGTGGAATGAACAAGTGCCACACTGATGGCCTATGCTACACCCAAAGTAGTGATCAATGAGATAATATTTAACAGAAATTTAATTCTCGAAGATAAGTGAGTGAAACATACTCACACCCCTGGTTTAAAATAATTTGTTGATCGCTAACACAAAGCAATGTTCTAACAATGAGTCGAGGGTTCAGAGGTACAACATTAGCCAAACATGCACATGGTCCGGAATTCATTTCCAGGTCGACGCACTCCTAAACCTCGCCTGGCCGGTAATTATCTCGATAAAGAGAGAAGGTTGGGCGTGAGGCTAACAACTTTGACTAACGCCAACACTACAGGAACTTCAAAGATCAAGCTTGTAGCTGTTTGCTCCTCTCTGAATGTTAAGCAATGAAATAAAGAATAGTAATAATTATTGTGTTTATGAAGATCGTTTGTTGTCAAGTGGTTGCATTTCATAGCACTGTCATAAATTAAGTAAGACACGTAATCTCTGATCTCACGGTGACTGTGTATTTCACACATTCTGATATTCAAATTGACAATTCTTCTTCTATGTGACACTTTTCGATGACAAGGTGTTGTTATCAAGGCCTTTGAAAACTTTCTTCACAAGTGAATGAAGCTTTAACAGCTACGTGTGAATGAATGTAAAGAAACATTTCTGCTTCTCCTGCTATTATTATTATGATTTCATTGGTACAAAATCACATACTTTGACGTGGCTGAGGAGCAGAATGATGTCTGATGAGGATCCTTCAGTGTTTTAAATTGTTATTTCCTTAGATTTCGAGTGGAACATAAGGCTTCAGTCACACACACATCTCTATTTATTTTTGGCTGACTCCAATCTATTTTTTTCTTCTGCGAATTTGTGAGGTAATGATTTCGCCCAGAGTTCTTCCTTTACTTACGATTTCTGGCCAATACGTACGACCTTCAGTACAGAGTGAATGTAGCGCTGTTGATAAAAGTCTGCAGCCAGTGTGAGAGTCTCGTTTATCTAACAAGTCGTCAGTTTTACTTGAATGAAATCTTGAACTTACATTTTGACAGAAATTGATGAAATGACCAATCTGATGACCGAACTGTATAGTGAAATCAAAAAACAAGCGGAGACTGTATGTAAGTAACACACGCACATACACACACACAAACGAAGTGATTTTATAGTATGATATGATATGTGACATTCAGACACAAAGTTTCATGCTACAAATCTTCAATAAATCATTTGAACAATCTATTATTCCTAAATATTACTATTTAAACTAGAAGAGTTATCTATTCATTTTTAACGTAATTTTATTCATGGGCTGAAATGGGATGAAGAGCAGACAGAAAAGTGTACCGTTCGAGTTTGAAACTTATCAGAATTGTGTACCTATTGACTAGTGTGAAGTCGAACTACTGATAATTAGCTCGGGAGCTTGAACACTTGAACCTGGAGCTTATGACCTTCAAAGTCGGCTGATGTGTGGCAAAAAATGGATATTGCATGCCATACACGGATGAAATCATCGAACAGAGCATCGGATGACAGTCAAATCTCATCTTAGCTTCATTGAATTTGAATAGACCTTAAATAGCATTGACTATGAAGTGATATGGAAACTGCTGCAATACAGTGAAGCGCCATGAACCTTCATTAACCTGATTCAACAGCTACATGACTATTTCACAAGCCAAGTGATCCTTAAACGGGAGAATTGCTTGAGGTATTCTAAGTGAAGACGGATGTAAGACAAACCTGAGAACACCACTGAGTGATATCAGAGGCCAGGCCATAGCCTTAGTGGATTTTCGAACGGAAAACGATAAGTTTGGTGTTCTGGTGTGACATGGAGGAGACGAGATTTTCTGGCTTATAGTGTGCGTTGAAATAATGAATTACAGAATGTTGAAGAAGTTGGACGTAAGGGAAATTTCATAGTGCTTGTAAATTTTCATAAAAAATTTTATCTACTGTGTCATGTACTGTGTAGTGATAGAACTCCTGTTGTCATGTGTTTTGGTCAGTAATTCCCCTTCCTCTCCTTACTTTCAGTTAAACGGAAATTGTACACATTCAGATCAAATGAACTGGAGCAAATGATACCAGAAGATGAGTGATATGAAGTGAATTAAACTGAGGTGATTGCTTAAGAAATGTCACCTCATCTTGTTTCTTACTTGAAACGATAATATTTAGAGCCAACACTTGTACTTTCAATAAATTCTTCTTCAGTCTCTACACTTATAAATCCATTGATTTTAACATCTACTGGCCAGCTAAGGTGAATTGGAATTATGTCAGTAATTGTATTGTGCTACAAGTACAAAATAAAATAATAGTCGTTCATTTTGGATTGCCATTTCCAAGGCATGTAAAATATGTGCAGTCAATAAGAAAGGACATGAGATAAAATGAAATGAAATAATTGAGTGATGCATTTGTACAATCGTGATCAACAAAGTATCAGTTTCAGGGGATGGTGCAAGAGGCAGTTTCAATAGCGAAGGAAAATATACCAAAAAAATAAAATGCAGTGAGCCAGGTGTCATTTCGATGGATGGCAAATAACGGTAATAGTGATGAATTTGTTAGCCAAGGTATGGAGTAAACACAGGAGTATTATTAGTCACCGATTATTGAATACTGAAGAATTCTATAGAGTGGCGAAATACCGAATTACGTGAATACAATAACACATGTGGAGATTACTGTGGAAAGCCAGGGGTCAGTTTTTGAAAGTGTGAATGGTATGAAATAAGAGGTTGTAACTGAAACTAATGGACAGAGGAAAATAGCATGATGGGGACCTAGAGTGTTAGGTGTCAATTTTTGTAGATGACTTCTCGACATCATTGTCTGTCAGTGGTAAACGAAACGGTAAGATCTATTTCTTCTGGGTGCAGTGACTGGGTCTTCTAGTATTTACCATTACGGCTGCAGCTACTGATAGGAGGCACCATCGGATTCTGCTGAACAGATTCTTGTAAGCAGGGTAATTCTCGTCAAACTGGTTGTTAGAAAACTGAAGATCATGAAGAATAATTTGTTCATGTTCCTATTGCCCCGTTGGGTTCCGAATGAAAGATATGGCTGCAGCAGCCCATCTCAGATTTTTCCTATTCTCTGCTATCCTCTTCACCTGGCTCCATGACTGCGAATACTCTGACATCTTCTCCAACTCACATAATATTCTCTGTGTCGTCTTCAGACGCCCAACACTTCGTTACGCATTTGAGTGGAACTTGAACGATGGCCTGACCCGCAATCTCAACCAACAGTCTCCCCGGCGTGTGAACGCTCCATTCGAAATCTCCGTAACACATTCGTTGAGAAATAGGTTCTACAGAGATTTGCTCCCACACTTTTTGGTTGTTCACATGAAATCCTGTCCACTGAACACAACAACTGTCAACTTTGATTATCCTCATTCTGTATAGATTGTTAGAATATTCAAGTTATGCCTTATTTGTCTAACGACTTTCATTCCACTTGACTGTATGAGCATCATAACACTTAAAACAGCGTCTCTTCTGTTACTTGAAATTCATGTAACCACAAGCTGTTCGATATGATATGTAACAATTTACTCCGTAAATTTGTGCATCTCTCGAACTTCACTCACTCAGTTCGAGTGCCACTTATTGCATATTGGATTGACGAAAAGTAGTCTACCGAGAATATATGCTTCATACGTTATCTGTATAGAAAAAAAGAGTTCATTGTATCACCAGGTGAAGCGCGTTTAGAAAGAATTTTAAAATTGGGACTTTCAAATGTCAGTTTTTAAATTTACATTGCTACAAATATCTGCATTCGATGCATCGTTCTTCCTGAAATGATGGATATGTGTGTTTGTCTTTTTGCAGAATAACTACATCCCTCGGAAATTATTATTTCTTCTTATCACCGTATGATTTTCGAAAGGACACAGTTTTGAGCGACAAGTTCTTACCATAAAAATATTCGCATTCTTTGACTATTTATATACTTAATAATGTTGATAATTATTATTTCACTCGAACTATTCCATTCTTCTGAAATAATGCTGTTTTCATTCATTGTGTAGTAATTAACCTGTGAAAGATTAAAGAAGTGTGAATTGAAAATAAAAAAAGCAAGAAACTGTAAACCACTATTACTTTTGCTATTGATTTCCTCTATTCTGAATGGAAGGTGGGACTTCAGAGACACATCTTCCTCCCGTCAATCTCAACTGCCTCCTCTTCTGCTCACTTACACACTTTTATTTCTAAGTCATGCGATCGCCTCCTCCATATCACTCTCACACACACACACAACGCGTCTCTCATCATTCGGCTTCCAGCCGACGGCAGAATTGTGTGTGGTGTTGCATGAATCTCTCCTCAGTAAATATCTAGTCTGTCTGCATTGTCTTCTGCATACTTTATTGGTCAGTATGTTGTTGGTTGGTTAGCTGACTGACTGGAGTGGCTTTGCTTGTTGCACAATCATCATTCCTGGTTGGTGGCTTCACGGTGATTATCGAGGCAGAGAAGTGGGCAGATGTTGATGAATGTGTGTGGTAGCCGGTTGGAAATGTCTCGCCTTCTAAGAGCATCCTTACAGTGAAACCTGAATGAGTAAAATTACAGTTTGTGAATCTGTGTGAGTGACTTTCGCAACAAACAATTTGAAAATGTGGTGAGTGGCTCGCCATTCCCCTCTGACTTTCAGTGGCCATTTGATATAATAAGTGAAGGGTGAATTTTCTTATGCGTGAATAAATCATCGTTAGCAAGCATTGAAGTTTATTTGGCTTGCTGTGTGTGCATGTTACACTTTATCTGGCGGTCATATCTACATGTCTTCAATCTTGATAGTTTTGATAAGCAGATGCAGATTGATCTCAGTGTAGGTCTGTTCACAAACCAATGTCAGTTAGAGAATCAATTCAAAGTATTCACAGTTGAAGACTTGACAAATAGGCTGAAATAAGTGTGCAGTATGTCCAAATGCTTTCCATGACACACACGCCAAGTCTCTGGAACATGCAGAAGCACAGACCTGACATTGATGTTAAACACCCTGATCTTGTTCTTCACTCTGAATCCAGTAGATTTCCTCACTGGTTTGAAAGCAGTGCGGATGTGCCTCACCTCTCCGATTTCTCTCTCGACCTTCTAATCTCTGACACTGCTAGTAGTGGAAACGACGCAATCAGTACTAGCAATTGTCATGCACTTACAATTGACACTGACTCGAAAATCATTCGAGCTACTGGTCTGATGAGTATTTTGAAAACTGTGAAATACCTGGCCGGAAGTATCTCACAGTTTGTAGGCTTCAGTAGAAATAGCCAGTTGGGCGTAGCATAATGTCGATCACAGTGAGACACAAATACTTGACACAGTAAAGCAACAGTTATTGTACGTGAGTCTGAAGTTGGTAGCTCTACAGATCAAGAGAGAAAACGAAGACAATACACAAGTCCGTCAACTTCATTTGCAGCAGTGTCAAGACAGCCACACTGAACACTAAACATCTCATTCTAAGCAATACTGCACACCATAGAATCTGTCACCGTTAGATAGATAAATATTACACACGAAAGTGAAGAGAACTCAGTGTACGCTAACACTTATGATATCATCGTTGTACAAGTGAAGAAATGTGAGACACAGAACGAGAAGATTTTAATGACTAATTAGAAAACTCCAAGCGGAAGAGAACAAAGGCATAAGTCACCTCATATTTTGTTAGTTGAAAACAACATTCCACTGAAAAGAATGTTCCAGTTGACATATACTGGAGAAGATGGTAAACAAAAATAGGCAGAGGTTAAACAGTATGTGCGGTGATAGAATGTCAATAAGTTACTCATAATAAATTTAGATATCTGAAATGAAATGCCAAATAGACACGTGTCATGCTGATTTCTGAATGAAATAAGTCATGTGTTTGTTATGTACCCCACCTGGTGTAGTGTTGTTAGATGCGCGTAATTCCTTGTCAATATGAACATCTATATTAAACGTCTCAACTGATTTTACCTGTTTTAGGTAATGCCTGCTACTAAGTGGTATCGGATCGATATGTAGTCTGTTGACTGATTTCTATCTTCTTCAACCACTCTGTATCTATGTCGTATTATGTCGTATTGTCATGAGTATGTTGAGAGAATGACAGCTGGGACGACTTAATTCACTCCCATCAATGCTGAATGAAAATATTCAGAGATGAAAGGCCTAGTCGTGTAGGAGTGCTGGCGGTGGTGGTGGTGGTGGTAGTACCATAAGAGCAGTAGTTTCACAGGAGGTGTCATCTAGTGATTTCCTTATCGAACAGTATACAGTCACAGCTTTGTTCAGTGCCATATCTCAGTAATGACCATTTATGTTATTCACCAATTACTCTATTGAAACTTTCCGATTTCATGATCAGTCTGTTGCCGGTTATGCATCAACGAGTAGCAAAGCAAGTCGTTCAGGGAAGAAGCTCCTTTTATGTTGAACTGATTATCTTTGCCTGTACAATAGCACTTATGTGAGATTTTTTCCACGAAATAGGATAGTGCAAGTAGCGATGAGCTGCTGTCATAATGATTGTTATTCGTTGTTAATGTCGATCAGTACATGAGAGGAATAGAATCAGCTTGTTAAGGAAGGCAGTAGGACAGATAATTGACTGAATCGGCTGTAGCCAGAATGCGCATTGATGCGAAAGAAAATCTGGAATAACCAACTTCCTAGTTAGAAGAAAAGAAGTAATTTGCACGCAAAGAAACAGCTCAGGTCGTTTTATGTGGACTTCAACAAATCTAAGCATGCAATCCAATGTTTTTGTACATATAGATTCAAAAGAGTTGTTGACATCAACTTTATGACCTGCTTGTATGATGCGATTTGTGACAGACAGTAACAGAATGCGTGATGACACTTCTAATATCAATTCTCCACAATCAACTGGTCACTCCGAGAATTCAGGTTCAGATGGAAAGCATGCAATCTTTGTGATTTCGAAGATATATTTCTAGGACAGTCAGTCATGAAGAACACGGATATCCACTTTGTGAAATGATGAGAGAAATAGGCCATGTGGAATATTTGATAAGTCACGTGTGAGCTTGAAGGATGAAATCCCAGAGGAAGTTAGTGAATAGAACTCGTTCAAGCGTCAAAGAAAACAGTTTCAGTGAGGAAATTGTTGTTGACAAATTCCAGTGATATTCTATTGTCATACTCAATACAAAGTCATGACGATATATCACTCTTGATGTTGATACGAATTCTATCAATACAGCTGCATGATATATTCACCAGAGACATACTCACATTCATCATGGACAGCCATCCATACTCTTCTGGAAGTCACTGTCGAAACCATGAACTATTTAACCGTAGAGG